AAGGAAACGTAGTTCAATAACACCACTAACTGATAAAACTCGTAAATAAAAAGGCAAAATAATGCAATTTTATGCTTAGCCTAGTTCAAAAAAGGTTGTCGAATAGAGATATTTCACAACCGAAAGAAGCCATAGGTTTTCGTCAACGTTTTCTGAATTGGTGTATATGAAATATAGACCACTCTCCGCGACCTTCAGAATTCTTTATGCGATACTATACTCAGTCATGGTCACAACCAATGGGACAAAACTTTGGTCGCGAATGAAACAAAATTGCATATTCAAGGTTACTTACTCTATACTATAAACTCTCCCATTCCTCTAGCCTTAGCTCCCCCTTCCCCCTACCGATGTGCGGTATTAGATGTCCTGCTGTAACCGCGACACTCACCGTTCGACTGGCATTTGAGATATGGTAAGCTAATGATGGCTGTTCTTCAACATAACCTTTATTATTCTGAGACTTTGTCTGGGGACTCAGTGACTGATAGATGTCCTGAGAATCGTGAGGCAACCTGAGTGCATCTTCTGTGAAGATAAACAGACTGAATCAAGCGTTGGGAATGCCTGCGCATATTTTTTGTTTTTAAATATCGAAAATTTGTTGTTGCTTGTTTTTAATGGGGGGACAATTTCAATGTCAATAGAGCAAACGCAGGGACTATGAAATAAAATCAAACTAAATACTAACAAATAGCGGTTATTTAGAGATAATTTGTCAGTATCAATGAACGCAATTAGGATGTGAATTCTTCTTCATTAGAGTCATTTTCATCCGTCTGTGAAATAGGAATTGTACTATTAAATACTATTATCCCCTATTAGCTCCCAATAGTTCAACTTATGACATGCGACAAACTAATTAAGCAAACACGGTTTTGGATTTTCCCTTTGGTAGCCTACTATACCCTAATAGTTACTATTAATCACTGACTAGTAGTAATTGTTTCACAGACGGTTGAAAATGACTCTACATTCTGGTTCATTGCTACTGACAAATTGTCTCTAGATAGCCGCTACAGTAAAAACCCGCGTATAAGAACACCTATTTTGGCCGAATTTTGCAAATATGGTCATAATGTTCGTTTTCGAATTTTTAATGAGCTTTGAATATTCCCACGCTTGGTACTAAAGAAATGTACGGGCGTTACCCGTTTCAAGTCCCTTATAGGTTTGCACTCTCTCTTAATCACCATATCATTTTCATAGAAAGGACGAAAAGGAATAATTACTACAAATCAAGTTTCATGTT